GTGCAGGTGCTAAATTTTAACCCATTACAGACAGAATTTAAGATGCAGGAAAATGTATAATGTTTTTCATCTCAAACTTTTCTGCTGTATCACTCAATTTTGCCTATACTGATCCCTTTCTGAGCATGGTTTTACTGTCATCAAGTTTTTACATCTTACTGGAAGCATTGTTGCTATCAGCAACTACAGGGTGTTATAGATCAACTTGACATAGTTACGTATATATGTAATATACACACGGATGTAAAAATCATTTGTTAGAGCTTGGATTTCAAACAAGTGGCATAGGTTACTTTTTGTGAAGGGTTTGAAAAATAGCTATGTGAGGGAGCAGGGAGCCCCTGGAGTGTTATAAGAAGATGATTTCTTTGTACTGGTCTCATAACTGTGAGTATAAACATTTGAGGGCTATTAGTTTGTTTTTGGTTTTGGATAGTCAAGGATTGACTTTGGTTTCAGAAACCCAAAGATTGGAAATTTTTTGAAAAGTCTTAGTGGACACTTGACTCGGATAAGAAACACAACATTTTTTCTTAGAGAGGAGTATGGAGTAGTTCATAGACTAAGTTACCTGAGCAGAGTAACTTAATTTGAGTAACTTCCAGAAAAGGACTGGTTGGTTGGAAGCCTGCAACTTACTAATCGAGGGAGAAAATGTAAGGTTTCAGTTTTGTGAGTATTCGTGGAAGAAGACTTCACAGTTCACAAGAAAGAACTGAAAGGAATCAGTTGAGTTGAACTCTGTGGATTTGACGCTGACAAGTGATGATGTTGGTGGGTGGGGATAGATGAACATTTTGATTTGCTGTGTGCTTTAAGGTTTTTCTGAACTATTTTCTATATTGATTTCTTTTTATCCTTTATTGCAATAAATTTCAGAGAAAATCTGCAGGCATTTGTGCCTGTGTTTCAGTGAACGACCATCACATTAAAATAAAGAAAATATGATCGATCAAGCCAACTTTCATTTTGGAATCTAACTTGTCCAGTTGTAGCATTGGCTGGCCATAGAACAAGTGGAGGCTTTTGCCAGGATTTGAGTTACTTGAATTTAAGAGTGGTCTCTGTCTATTTTGATGAAACGGATATGTGGTGGGTGCTGAACATAATACAGTGGTGAAGTTAATTGAATAGATTGGATTTGATTTTTAAGTTGGCCTTGAATGTTGCTAAGAATTCTCTGGAAGTAGAACATATAAAAGTGGATTGTTTGAAATCTTTGACAAACGTTATACTTAGTATGTTAGCTGATGAATTGAAAATAGTGGTAAAAGCAGGGCCTTGTAAGGAGAAGGTGCTGAAAATAATAATCCAATTTTTAGAATTAGAGGGTGTAAAACCTATAATTGAGATATTGCAACTGGAATTAATTTAGTCTCACTTTGATGTAGAGAGAGAAAGAGAAATGAAAAAGGAACACTTGAGTTCGGGGAAAACCAAAAAGAGAAAGAGAAATAAAGAGATCTGATTTGTAAGAAAAGGGAAATAGGAAATGACAAGGAAAAAAAGGCGATGGAAGTAGAGGGAAATGAAAAGAAGAAAGATTTGGAAATGCAAATGGAAGGGAGATAAAAGCAGGTACTTAAACTCGAGAGTTAAGGAGGTTAAACAACAGGAATTGGCCAGAGGAATTTTATAATAAAGTAGTATAATAAATTTTATAATAAATTTGTAATAAATTTTATAATGAATAAATGAATGAGTTATGAAATATCTTCTTAAATGTCTTCCATTGCTTTTCTGAAGTGGAATTCTTTGACACACTGCTTTGTGGGGAAGCTGGGATGTGCTTTTCTGTTGTATAAGACCCACGTGATGGAGGACATATACATCTTGCCTTCCTTTGATCCCTTTTGTCTGTCTCTGCTGACTTGCTTTCTGCTGTTTAGCACATTATTTTTCAGCAATAAGGCCCAACCCCTTATTTCAAGTAAGTCAATTGTTCCCAATAGAAATATTTCACTTGTTCGAGACTTATCTCTGTCATTTTGAAAATAAGTTTTGAAGATTTTTCATCCAGTAACCTGGTGGACACTGAATTTAATGCAGAGGACTCCTTTAAATATTACTGTCTGCTTCCAACAAGAATCACTGGGCAGAGCTAAGAGTCGTCAAATCTGGCACTTCCACAAATTAATTTGGGAAAAGAGCTTTTAGCAGTCAGATGATTCTGCATGATTATGTCAGCTCCCTTTGAGCTGAGAGGGCCTGTGATGAGACATTAGGAAGTGATTTGTGACAGACCTAGTGTTGGTTTTGTGTCTTATAGATAAGGACCCATATCAAATGAGAACAACGCAAATTCAGAGCCAGAAAACCTTGGGCAAAATCAAATTAGATGAGGTCGACAGTCATTGCACAATGCAGGTCATGTTTGCATGCAACGTGGGTGACATCAGACATCAAAACTACCGTAGAAAGATGATGTTGAAACTGACCCTGGTGTTGATGCTAAATGCTGCCAGCTTCTGTGCTGACAAATATGAAACATAAGTGAAGAACTACTGAGTGAAGGGAACTTTAAAAGCTGCAGGCATTTCAGTTCATTTCACCGTATATGGCAACATATAGAGCTTTCAGGTCTTTGAATGTTTAAAAGGTGACACCATTCTTTTTGTATGAAAGTTTGTCTTTTAAAAAGAAGTGGCTGTGATTGTTTGTTCTTATTGTTAATGCTTTCCACTGTTGTGTTCAGAGCTAAAAGCTGCTTAGCACTTTGTAGACTTTGTTGCAATGTGTTAAGCACTTATAATCTTTATTCTTTGCCATGTCTATGTGATTTTAAGTTTAATTGTTTTTTTCTGTGTAAAATTGGTTATGCTACTGGATTTAAAGTTTGGATAGAGGGGAGGTTATTGATATTAATGATGCTCAATTAATTTAGAAGAGGAAGGAGAGGGAATTGCAACATGATTTAAAAGTGTAGGAGAAAGAAGGGAAAATGAGCATTTTAAGGTATTGAATTAATTGAATTTTGTAAACTGAGTATTCTTAAACTCTTGACTAGAAATATCACTTAAAAATTTGGTGTGTGCATATGAGGATTCAATATATGTAAGTTGCATGGAAGCAAACATTTAGATGCTAAAGTGTGCACCTCAAATTTGGAAAACCTTTGAAATACATTTTAATTGAAAATATTACTGGAAACAACTTGTACTTCTAAGTGCCTGCTTTGGAAAGAAAGCTTATTCGTAAATTTGACATTTTGGAAGATTTTCTTACAGCATAGGGATGGGACATGCTTCCTGATAGAATCAGTTTGCCTCTGATACAAAATCACAGGACTGACTGTACACAAAAGTGTTTGTATCAGCAGGTCTGCTCCATTCCATAGACAGACATCTGAGCTGGATGTGCTCAGATAAACGTTTTCAGGTTAATGTTTTTGATTTTGCTGTTGGTTACAGAGTGTTTTTTGGGTATTCAAATTTTATAAGATCCTTTACCTACTGTAATCTTATCTAGTTCTGATGAAGGGTGACTAGACTTGAAACATTAACTCTTCTTTTTCTCTTGGCAGAATGCAACCAAACCTGCTAAATTTCTCCAGCAATTTCAGTTTTTGTTTGTTTCAGCATCCATAGTTATTTGTTTTATTATTACCCTAACATATTCACTTCACTTATTGATTAACAATGTAATGTTCCATTGAGCTTGAATGTAATGTGTAAACTCTCAAAACAACAAAAAAATTACAACACAGAAGGAGGCCATTCAGCTTATCATGTCTGTGCCAGCTGAATAAGTTAGTTACTCATTCTAATCCAACTTTCCAGAACTTTATAGGGACATAGAGTCAGAGTTATATATCACAGAAACAGACCCTTCAGTCCAACTCATCCATGTCGACCAGACATCCCAATCTGATCTAGTCCCATTTGCCAGCATTTGGCCCATATGCTTCTTAAACCCTTCCTACTCATGTACCCATCTGGATGCCTTCTAAATATTGCGATTATACCAGTCTCCAGCACTGCCTCTGGCAGCTCATTCCGTACACGCATCATCCTCTGAAAAAGTTACCCCTTAGGTCCCCTTTAAAACGTTCCCCCCGCTCACCTTAAATTGTGCCCCCTAGTTTTGGACTTAAGGCACCATCACCATCTATTCCCCTCACTCTTTCTCCCCTCTGTCTACAGTATAAAAGCCAGCATTTTCCAGAACCTTTCAGTTCTGAATAAGGGACATTAACTGTTTCTCTCTCCACACAAGTTTCCTGATCTGATGACTTCCTCTAGTGCGCACTGGATGGACTACTGGTCTGTGGCCTTGCAGGTTACAGTGCTTCAGATACAAATCCAAAATCCTTTTCAATGAATTAGGGGTTTGTACCTCAACCACCAAACTGGGCAATGTATTCCACCTCCCACCATCTTCTGGGTGAAGAGGTTTTGCTTCAGGCCCCATCGCATCTTTTTACTGATCACCTTAAAATTGTGTCTCCTGGTTACTGAACTCTCAGCTAGGGGAAACAAATCTTCCCAAACCACTCTATCCCACCCCCTCATTATTATGTACACCTCAATTAAGTCACTCCTCAGCCTCCCCTGTTCTAAGGAACCACATCGAGCCTATCCAGTCTTCCTTCATAGCTGCTGTTTTCTAGCCCTTGCAATGCATTTGTAAATCACCACTATGCCGTCTTTAATGCAATTATATCCTTTCTGTAATGCTGATGTTCTCACTCTTCCTCACCTTTTAAAACCAAGTTTATAGGAACAAATACCATGCACATGAATTGTGTGTGGATTTGAACTTTGCTACTGGATTTAAAGTATGAATAGGGGGAGGTTATTGATATTAATGATGCTCAATTAATTTAGAAGAGGAAAGAGATGGAATTGCAACATGATTTAAAAGTGTAGGAGAAAGAAGCAAAAAAATAGTAAGCACCATCTTGGAATAAAATAAAACTTGTAAGATGGTTGACAAATAAATTAATTTGCTGTAGTATGACTACACATTTTTCTGGTTAATCTTACTGTTTTTCATTTCAGGGAAACTGAAATATTGTCTGTTAATTCTCAATCAACCTATGGATGGTGATCAATTTCAACGCCTGTGGAGTAAAGGTATACTTCAGAGAAATGTTTTCTGTAACTCACTAATGAACCAGTGCCACAGTCCTTGGTTTGCTACTGCAATGTTAATGTTTAACACCACACCTCTCCTGTGTAATAGTTAATGTTCAGAAGCTTTGTGCCTCATCTAGTTTACACTACAGGGTAATTATAGCCAGAGGTAGTTATTTAACTTAAAAAATAATTAAAAATATAAAAATAACTATATTTCACCACGTTTAAGTCTAAAGAAGAGTCTTACCAGATTTGAAATGTTAACTCTCTTTCTCTTCCAACAGATGCTATCAAGCCGGCTGAGTTTCTCAGGCATTTTCTGTAGTTATTTTATTTTCTGTCTTAAGGGAGAATTGGAAGCCTTGGTCTCCTGTAGCTGATCATTGTTTCTGTTCACTTATTCATCAACTGTTTAATAAATTTGTTTTACAGTTATTTGTGTAAGTTATAAATTAGTTAGGTATTATTCATTCATCTGCTTTCAAAAGAGATGAAAAATAATGTAAATTCATATGATATAACTTGAATCTGAAGTAGTCAAGGCAGAATGTCTAACTGATGGACTTGTCACAAGTCATCTCGATGATGGTGTAGGAAAGGTAAATTTAGGTCACTGGCGATTGACGGATTACCTGAATACAAAAAAGATAGCTGGCGTATCACAGAATCATTGAATGGTTACAGCTAAAAGAAGCCAATTTGGCCTCTCGTCATGTTTGTGCTGGCTTTCCGAAGGGGCACTTTGTCTCAAGATATACACAACCTTCTTTCCATGATACTGCGCATTCTGCCTTTTCAATAATAATCTAGTTCCCTCTTGATTGGAATGGCTTAATCCGATTTTCTGTCAGTGTGCTCCAGATTCCAACCACACATCATGTAAAATCACTTTCCTTGCGTCTGCATTGCTACTTTTGCCAATTGCTTTAAATCTCTGCCTTTCTTTTCTCCAAGGAAAACAATCCTAACTTCTCTAATATGTCCAGTTTAACTGAAGTTCCTCATCCCTGGAACTATTTTTGCGAATCATTTTTGCATCCTCTTCAATATACTCACATCTTTCCTCAAGTGCAGTGTCCAGTATTGGATGTAATACTCCATCAGAGGCCAAACAACTGTTCTGTACAAATGTAATGTAGGCTTTTGTACTGGAATTGAAAGACAAGAGAAGCTGGAGCCTGATGGAGATGGTTTATTTCTAAAGGCTTGAAAATAATAGCTGCAGAGGATATAGCTGAAAATGTGGCAATTCTGGAAATTCCTAAAATTAATGAGGTGGACTCTGGACTTTGCCTTGAAAAATCAATAAAAAACAAAGGGGAGTGAGGTGTTTGAAGTTGCGCACTGGAAGAAAAAGTATAAAGAAAAATGACTTCTTTCCAGTGGAACATAAAATTACCAAATTCTTTATGTTAAAAATGCTCACAAGACACCCTGCTTTTTCTCTTTATTCAGTGAGTTGTTATACTGGAACTCTTTTAAAATGGACAATATTGCAATATTTATCCAATGCAAAAATGGAAAAAACTCAAGTTTAAAAAAAAAGCAACATCATATGGAGAATAAAACCCATGCAGTTACTGTGAATAATATTAGTCATTAATCAAAATTCTTTTAGAAAATGAGAACAACTTCGTTCAGATCCTCGTTAGTATCAATTTGTCAACTTGCTCCACTCTGACTGATAACATTTTTAGAATTTAGATTGTAAGTGAATCCAATCCAAAAGAGAGTTCTTAAAAATAGGATAAAACAACATATTAATGGGCATGCTTTAATACAGTACATGACAACGCAGCACAACCCAAATCTCAACTGATTATAGTGAATCGGTGCCGGTCTTCACTCACAATGGCCTCGCCATGAAGGAGCTTGTGGGTCCTCAGTACAGCTCAGTGTTGCTTTAAGGCTGTTGGTAAGGCCAAGCTATCGAGAAGGTGAGTTGGTAAGGATGGGGACTAGGCCTGGGAAGAGGGACATGTATGTTTACAGGTAGAGTGGCTGATTACAATCTGTGGGTGACGTGGAGGGGAGAGAGGCTTCACTGAGTTTTCTGAGATTAAAAATAAAGTGAGCTTGGCTAAAACTTGCATGTGTACATGAAATCATAAAAGTTTTTACAAAGTACTTTAAAAACGCATTTCAGCATTGAGAGATTAAATCAGTATGATGTAAAACAAAAAGAATACGGTCAGAAAAATATTTGAAATATGTATGTTTAAAAAGTGAATTGTTATATGGTGAAGTAAGACACCTGAGAGAAGAGTGAGGTAGTAAATTATAAACAGGTTATACGACCAGTACTTTGAACCTAGGAATATTGGAATTCCGACATAAAGTTCCAAGATCCCAAGAGTTTGCCTACTACCTTCATAGTAGTAGCATGATACAACAATAACAGTTGTCCATAAATTGCAGCAGTCAACATCTGTAAATGTTTAAAATTGATCAAGGCTTGTGAGCAGCAGTGGAAAGATCAGTTTATTATTTATTCCTAATTGCTTTGAAACGATTGCAGTTGAAATCCAGGACTTGCCTGCCTACACTGCTCCGCCCACCATCGACATAGCTCCGCCCACTGCCTCCACGGCCAGCAGCTCCAGAGGAGACAGGAGCACCCAGCCTTGCCGAGTCTTCACCATCCCCCCAGACCTCCCCGTTACTGAGGGCGAACGGTCAGTCCTCAGTAAAGGGCTCACCTTTGTCCCCCTCCACCCACAGATCAACGAATACCGCTCACGCTTGGACGTTGAACAGTTTTTCTGCCTCTGCGCTTACTTCTTTAATCGTGAGCCTAACCCTCCCTCTACTGACCCCTTCTCCCACCTCCAACACAACCCCTCCTTCTGGACACCACCCCAAGGCCTCCTACCCTCCCTTGACCTCTTCATCTCCAACTGCCGTTGAGACATCAATCGCCTCAACCTCTCCACCCCTCTCACCCACTCCAACCTCTCCCCTACAGAACGTGCAGCCCTCCGCTCCAGCCCCAACCTCACCGCGGACAAGGGAGGTGCCGTTGTAGTATGGCGCACTGACCTCTACATCGCTGAGGCCAGATGCCAGCTCTCCGACACCTCCTCCTACCGCCTCCTTGATCATGACCCCACCCCCGACCACCAAAACATCATCTCCCAAACCATCCACAACCTCTTCACTCCAACCTCAACCACATCACTCCCACCCAACCTCCAACCTCATCGTTCCCCAATCCTGCACCGCCCGCTTCTATCTCCTTCCCAAAATCCACAAACCTGACTGCCCTGGTCGACCCATTGTCTCCGCTTGCTCCTGCCCCACCGAACTCATCTCCACCTATCTCGACTCCATTTTCTCCCCCTTGGCCCAGGAACTCCCCACCTACGTCCGTGACACCGTCCACGCCCTCCACCTCCTCCAAAACTTCCGATTCCCTGGTCCCCAACACCTCATTTTTACCATAGACGTCCAGTCCCTATACACTTGCATTCCCTATGCAGATGGCCTAAACGCCCTCCGCTTCTTCCTGTCCCGCAGGCCCGACCAGTCCCCCTCCACTGACACCCTCATCTGCTTAGCCGAACTCGTCCTCACCCTCAACAACTTCTCTTTCAATTCCTCCCACTTCCTACAGACAAAGGGGGTGGCCATGGGTACCCGCATGGGCCCAAGCTATGCCTGCCTCTTTGTAGGATACGTGGAACAATCCCTCTTCCGGAACTGCACTGGACCTATCCCCCACCTCTTCCTCCGTTACATCGATGACTGTATCGGCGCCGCCTCGTGCTCCCACGAGGAGCTCGAACAGTTCATCCACTTCACCAGCACCTTCCACCCCAACCTTAAGTTCACCTGGACCATCTCCGATACCTCTCTCTCCTTCCTGGACCTCTCTGTTTCCATCTCTGGCAACCACCTAGAAACCGATATCCATTTCAAGCCTACCGACTCCCACAGCTACCTAGAATACACCTCCTCTCACCCACCTTCCTGCAAAAATGCCATCCCCTATTCCCAATTCCTTCGCCTCCGCCGCATCTGCTCCCGAGATGAGGTATTCCACTCCTGGACATCCCAGATGTCCTAGTTTTTCAAGGACCGCAACTTCCCCTCCACAGTGGTCAAAAACGCCCTCGACCGTGTCTCTTGCATTTCCCACAACTCATCCCTCACACTCCCTCTGCGCAATAACAACCAAAACAGAATCCCCCTTGTCCTCACATACCACCCCACCAACCTTCAGATCCAACACATCATCCTCCGGCACTTCCGCCATCTGCAATCTGACCCCACTACCAAAGACATGTTTCCCTCCCCACCTTTATCTGCCTTCCGTGACTCCCTTGTCCGCTGCACACTCCCCACCAGCCCCACCACCCCCAGCACTTCTCTCTGCAACCACAGGAAGTGCTACACCTGCCCCTACACCTCCCCCACTCACCCTCATCCCAAACCCCAAGAAGACCTTCCACATCAAGCAGATGTTCACCTTCACATCTGCTAATGTGGTATACTGTATCTGCTGTTCCTGATGAGGCTTCCTGTACATCGGGGAAACCAAGCGGAGGCTTGGAGACCGCTATGTGGAACACCTACACTCGGTTCGTGACAAACGACTGCACCTCCCAGTCGCGAACCATTTCAACTCCCCCTCCCACTCCTTGGATGACATGTCCAACTTGGACCTCCTCCAGTGCCACAACGATGCAACCTGAAGGTTGCAGGAACAGCACCTCATATTCCACTTGGGAACCCTAAGGTCCAATGGTATCAATGTGGACTTCACAAGCTTCAAAATCTCCCCTCCCCCGACTGCATCCCAAAACCAGCCCAGCTCGTCCCCGCCTCCCCAACTGTCCGTCCTTCCTCCCACCTATCCCCTCCTCCAACCTAAAACCCACCCCCATCTCCTACCTACCAGCCTCATCCTGCCTCCTTGAGCTGACCATCCTCCCTGGACTGACCTATCCCCACCCTAACTCCCCACCTACACTCACCTTTGCTGGCTCCATCCCCTC